TAGTGATACTGCCTCGGAAACCCAAGAAGGGGTCCCTATGAGTTGGGTCCGACTCGACAGCAAACAACAACAAAAACAGTGGTAACTAAACTCAACACAACCAGCAGACAGAACTCCAAACACAGCTGTTAAGCCCAGAAAAGGCTAAGATGTTAAGGTTTCCAACTGAGGGAGATCCACACACCCATCCACTCCCCACCCCTCCATCCTCACCCTCACCCTTGCACCAGGCTTGTGCCAGGACACCTCTGAGTGACTGGTGCCATGCAGTCCTACCCCAGGCTGTTTCTAGAAACCTCAACCACTCATGGGCCTGGGAGTATTGGAGAAAAAAGCTCCCCCCATGCAGAAGTAGAAGCAGGGTGCTGGGCTGGGCTGGCTGGACTTACTGACTCCTTCCCCTCCACCGCCCACTGCCACCATAGGTCAGCTATCTGAAGCAGAAAGGTCTGGGTGGGGCCATGGTTTGGACACTGGACTTGGATGACTTCGTGGGCTCCTTCTGCAATCAGGGTCGATACCCACTCATCCAGACACTGAGACGGGAGCTGAGTGAGTAAGGGCTCAGGGTCAGAAGTGGGAGTTGTCGGTGGGGTATGAAGCTGCTCCCCCAAACCACAGGCCCAGAGTCCTTCTGAGGAACTGACTTTGCCCCAATACTGAGATTTCCCAAATTTAACTCAACTGCAGGAGTTGAGCAAACTGTTCAAACCAGGGCTTCAGACCCGTTCATTCTGGTTTGACTTTCTGCTGAGAATTAGCCTTTCCACTGCACCCCCATCCTGTGTACTGAATCAGAATCTACATTTGAACAAGATCCCCAAGTGATTCCTATAATCTCTAAGTAATTATACAAATTCTTATGTCCACATAAGAGTCACCTGTAGACCTTGTTAAAGTGTAGATTCTTATTTGGTAGCTCTGGGGTGGAAATGCAAATTTTCAGCATGGGGTCAAACTGGAATGAACTGGTTCAAAGCCTTGGTTGAAACATTGTTTTCTCACCCACTCTTCCTTCTTCTTGCGGGGGCTGTAGCAACGCCTGCCCAGGGTGTTGTAACTAGGGTTTCTTCCAGGGGGCCCTCAGCCAGGGAACAGCAGCATGTTCCTCTCTTCAGGGAGAAAGCCTGACCAGTGTGAGGCGTTCCCACACCCCCTGCTAGTATATGGCTGGGTTTTGCTGATGGTATATCCCCTTGATTGGTTGTTCTCTGCCTGTTCCACATGTACCAAACCAATTGCCATTGAATTGATTCCGATTCATGGTGACCTCATGTGAGCCTGAGTAGAATTGTGCTCTACAGAGTTGCAATGGCTAAGCTTTTAGAAGTAGATCATTGGCCTTTCTTCTAAGGGGACTCTGGGTAGCCTTGAACTTCCAACTTTTGGGACAGCAGCTGAATCCTTACCTGTTTACACCACCCAGGGACTCCATTATATAAGTAGCCCAAGCGTTTTCTGCTGAGCTGTGCTCAAGCTATAGGTGTGGCTGTTGTCAGGGTGTTCTCTGCCTGGGCTGTCTGTGCTCTGCCTGTAGGGTGTGGTGTGGAGCTGCTGTCTGCCTATGGTTGGTGCCTGTGCTTGGCCTGTGAATTTGGCCTCTCTCTTGGGTCCCTTGGATGAATCTTCACTGTCTTCACAGGTCTCCCATATGTGCCTTCAGGCCCCACAGAGCCTGAAGTTCCCAAGCCAGACCAGCCCTCTAAACCTGAGAGTGGGCCCAGCCCTGGAAAAGATACCTTCTGCCAGGGCAAAGCTGATGGCATCTACCCCAGCCCTCGGGAGCGGTCCAGCTTCTACACATGTGTGGGGGGCAGGCTATTCCAGCAGAACTGCCCAGCAGGCCTGGTGTTCAGCTCCTCTTGCCAGTGTTGTACCTGGAACTGAGTCCCAGCCCTAAAGCCAAGGCCCAGGACCTCTCCACAGTCTGTCTCTCCAAATTTCCCTTTGCAGGCCTCTCAGTGCAACAAGTCTGCCTGCTCTCAGCCCTGGGTTCCTCTTTTCTGGATATCCTGGGCTACCTCTCTCATTTGCAAAATAAACCTTTTGCTTTGCACCCCCTCCCCCAGGTGTGGTGACTTCCAGAGGCTCTCTATGCACACTGTTGGCTCAAAAACTATTCTGGGGAAGGTGGGGTACCAAGAGGGGAGGGTAGCTTAAAATCGCATACAGGTTAGAGCTAGGTGAGAAGGCGGTGTGTGCAAGACTCACGTTAGGTATCACCATCTCAAGGAGTCCACAGCCCAGTGGGCAGCTCCCAGGATCCAGGTGACTACATCCAGGGTACCCACCTGTGTCAGACACATTCTTCATTGGTTCAGAAGCTTCAAGAGAGACCTTTTTCCGATCTCTGTGCAGGTGGTATTCCCAAAATGAACACTAGATGGCACCAGAGATGGGCTTTTCCCTGCTCTAACCTATCCAAACAGCCATCAAGTCCATTCCACAGCTGACCCTTTTAGGGCAGAGAATTACCTCATAGGATTTCCGAGGCTGTAAATCTTTACCCAAGCAGACAGCCTCATTTTTCTTCCATGGAGCGTTTGGTGGGTTACAAAGGATTCAAACCGCCAAGGATTCAAACTGTTGAGGGTTCAGCTTGCCTTAATCTCAGCATTAAAATGAAAATACAGATTCCTAGAATGACCACTGAAAAACAAAACCGCCTTCAAGTCAACTGTGAACCACGGTGACCCAATGTGTGTGAGAATAGAACTGTGCTCCGTAGGGTTTTTAATGGCTGGTTTTTATAAAGTAGATTACCAGGCTTTTTTTTCCAGGCGCCTCTGAGGGGGGACTCGAACTTCCAACTTTTTAGCTGAGCACGTTAATTGTTTGCATCACCCAGAGATATTTGACCTAAATTCTGTACTAAAACAAACAAACAAACAAACTTATGGCCCTATGAGCAGATTCCATCTCAAAGCGACTTCCCATTGGGTTTCTGAGGTGGTAAATCTTTATGGAAGTAGATTGCCCCATCTTCCTTCTGAGGAGCAGCTGGTGGATTTGAACTGCTAACTAGCCCTTTAAAAATGACTTATTGTACCTAATGCTCACCTTAGCCAGATGCGGCAGAAACAATTATTGTCTTCATTTTACAGGTATTTAAACTGAAGACTGATTCTAACCCATTTCTCTCTGAGTCCAGAAGAACCAAGGTCTAAATGGGCCAAGATGGGCCAGAGCATCCTGTCAGGGCTGCTGGCATGCTCATGTCAGATGAACATGCACACACAGAGTGCTGGATCAATAAAGAACAAGTGAAATAGTCCTTCAGCTTTGGTTTGCATTTTGGTCATTCTGTTTTAAGAAAATTTGCACATAGCCTAACGATCCAGACCGTCATCGCCCAGCCCAAGCCTGCGGAGAGAGGGAGGGATGTGTCCCTTCACGTGTGTACAGCAGCACCAGTTCCCTGCAACAACGCCTTCCTTCTTCTACACCCTGCCTCTTCTGGTAGACCCTGCCTTTCTTTAGTCCAGAGCACCACTTGCCCTTCCTCTGCGGTCTCAACCTCAGCAGATCTGCCACATCCATATCCCAACAAAAGCTTCTTGCTCATAATTGAGCCTGAGGGGCAGTTTCCATATGGGGGAATACTTGAGCCTCAGAGAGGCACAGGGTTGACTTCTGGCCCCACCACATACTTGCTGTGTGACTTTAGGCAAAGAAACAGAACCTCAGTCTCCTTAACTATCAGATGAGGCAAAACCCTCCCTCCCAGGGCAACTGTGAACATTAAGTGAAGTAGTGTGTCTAAAACCATCCAGTTAGGTCGAGTCTAACAAGTAATAAGCAAACAGCTTGATTTTTATTTTAGCATAGTGAGCCCATCTAAAACAAAACAAAACAAACAAAACAGTTGCCCTCAACTCAATTCCAATTCACATGATGTCCAAATAGCCAAAGTTCCCCTAAACACCTGAACTAGTTTTAACCTCAGGAAAGTGCTACCCATGGCCTCTCTCTAGCCCTTGTCAGGTTTTAATGGCCCTGCTCCTCTCCAAACTCTGGTCCCTACTTCACTAGTCTCTTCACCTGGTCCAGTCTTCTAACTGGCCTCCCCAGTTCTGCCCCTGCCTCCTCTGATCCAGCCTGCACATGGCAACCAGGTGAATATCCCTGAATTAGGGATCAAATTCCATCATTTCTCTTGCTTAAGAACTTCCAACAGCTTCGTCGGCCCACAGAATGAGGTCCCTGCCTGTCAGCACAATGTTAAAACCCTTTGTCAGGCCCTCGTCTCTTCTCCTGGCCTCGTCTATGTCATTCCCATCCCAATTCAGTGACCTGGTACACTGTCAGGCTGTCACTGTTAACCTCAGTCATGCCAGCTCCACCTCTGGGACCCCCAGATGTCTGCTGTCACCCTGGTGGCCCAGGCCCACCTCATTTTCTGAACAAATCCTGCCTGAGGCAGGAGCGACAACAGCGCCCTCAAGCCCACTTGTGCTCAGACTGAAGCAAGTCTGCCTCCGCCCGGGCTTTGGACTCCATGTGGATCCTCAGCGCTCCTGCTGCTGCTGAGTCACTCAGCACACATGAGTGTCTACCAGATGCCAGGTCTGCTGCTGGGCTGCACGCAGCAAGGCCAAGAAATCTCAGGGCTCTGTTCCCTGGGGTTTACAACCTACTAGGAGAGACAGACAATGAACAAAAGTACAAATAAAACACTAATGAGTGCTATAAGGGAAACAACATGGCTAGAGAGAGAGAAAGTGGGGGTGGTGGGACTACTTTACACAGGGTGGTCAAAGAAGGTTCCTCAGTCAGTAGAGGTCACATGTGACCTGAGATCTTTAAGAAAGAGCTACCTGTGCTGTTCTGGAACCTAAAGTCCCTAGGTATGAGTCCGAGTACAGTTCTTCTCCGGCCGCCTTTGTTGACCTGATTTATAGAACAGGACTCATGCCTTGGTCGCCTCTTCTACACATCTCCCAATGACTGCACTCTGGCCCCAGACCTTTTCTAACATAGGTGCTTTGTTCAGGCTCCAAGCCCAGTGGCTGTCCTTCAGGCCAATGGTTGCCTCAATTCTCACCTGAATTCTGAGGTCTGGGCCCCCTGGACACTGTTCCAAGCCTTTTCCCTTGGTGCCTGCCCCAGCCTCTGCCATGCTTCAGTGCCCAGTGGCGTGGATGGCCTGGTTCAGTACCCTCCCCTCCCCTCTGCTCCAGACCATTGACCGGAAACCCCCACGTGATGCCCTTCACCTGTGTGGTTACACTTGCCCAATGGAATCTGAGAAGTCCTCAAATAGACACGCTCTTGGTTGAGCACCTCTCCATCCTGGGCTTCTGAAGCTGCCTGAGTGGTTTCTTATCTTCTCTGACAAGTAATTCCAGTCACCCTTTGAGAGCCACTTCATGGGTCACTCCTTGCGGGCAACATGCCCAGACACCCCAGACATCAGTGTCTACTTCTCTGCCAGCCTTCAGCAGCACTGGCTCACCTCCCTTACACAAGGTACTGGAGATACCTGTGTAGATATTAGCCTTCTCTCCTAGACTCTGAGCTCTAGAGGGGCAAGGACATTATCCTATCTACTCCTCTCGGTCTGCAACACATGTGTGATGCTTAATGAACATCCATAAATATTGAACCATATAATTTCTGGTTTTTATTCTCCTTTAATCCTCCCCCAAATGGGTTCTAACCCAGGTAGGAGGATTTCCAGACTCAAGTACCAATTCATGACATAGAGCGCTGCTCACTAAACCCTGCTGTTCAATGTTATTTGCCATTTTCATGCTAGTGTCCATCTGCAAGTCCTGTCCCTCAAATCAACAGGACAATTACCATTTGTTGAGCAGACAGGGGTCACTCTAGGCACATATTAGGCACCCAGTAAATATTTATTAATGATGAGTAAAGGAGTGAATTTCATTTAATCATCACCACATCCTTGCTGATGTTATTAGTCAGCTCCAACTCATAGCAACCCCAAGTAGGTACTATTACATTTCACTCAAAGGGTTACATAATCGGTACGTGGCAAAACTGGGATTTAGATGCAGATCCAGATGAGATCCCAGAGCCCAAGCTTTGCTCTTCAACACACTGCTGGCTTTTCCTCCCCCAGGTGAAGTCATATTCATTTCATTTATCTCCTCAACCATCCCCTGTGTGGACCTCAGGCCATGTTTGTTGGGAACTTGCTCTGTGGCAGGCCATACATTAATGTGCCCATCAATTCAAGACTGATGTCAATCCTATAGGATCTTCTGGGGTCATAGCTACAGAAACCAAGGCTCAGTAGAGCTAGCAGTAGAGTCAGGGCCTGACTCAGGTCCACGTAGTTCTCAAGCACTCCTTCCATAATATCTGATTTAGTAGTTTAACTGGGCATGGAGATTGATAATTCAGAAGAATAAATATGTCCTGGGCATTGACCAAGCTTCCTGGGCAGTAGTTCAAACCCACACAGCAGTGCTGGGGGAGAGAGCCCTGATGATCTTCTTCCATGAAGATTACAGCCAAGAAAATCCTATGGACCTTTGTCCTACTCTGTAACACACGGCGTTGCCATGAGGAATTGAGGAATTGACTCAATGGCAACAGGTTAGTTGTGTTTTGTTGTTGTTGTTTGTTTTGGTTTGAGTATTTACCATGTGCCAGGAGTTATTCCAGGACACACGGGGGATGCACAAAAAATGCATTCCCTGCCCTGGCAATGTTTACAGTTGGTGGTCTCTTGGTAGGGATTCCCATAACCAGCTAAGAGATGAAGAGGATCAGCCCAGCGGGAGGAAGTACTTTACTGCTGGCATTGTTTGGAGCTGCAGGATCATTGGAATAACAAAAAGCAGACCAAGTTTCGGTTTACTATTGCTTTCAAAATTCTCTGCATACAAGGCACCCTGATTGCCTTCAATGCTTGGAAC